GGTGCTACCATACATCGCCAGCCCTAATACTCTAGTGGCTTAGAAGTAACTGATTGCTCCTTTCAATCTATATTCGTAGAATAATATATACATCCAGATATTCATGTTGGGTGCTGGAGATTCTTTATTCCATGGAGACACATGAAATTAAACTGAGTCTTCCAAAAGTCACAGAAAATTAGTAGTGCCTGCTCTATTGCAACGAATCGATCTTGCTGGATGAAACACTTAAAATACTATAAGATCTAAAGATAAATATGGGGAAGTACATCCGGTTGAGGCGTGTCAGTCACGTGTATCACATGACCCGACCTTCCCGAACCTCCGAAACTCGACCGTCTGCAAAGCATCCCAAAGCAAGTGTTCCTTCTCCTGAACAGAATCCCCTCATCTATCCCTCACCGTCAAAATGGCATTCGCTTGGAAAGCTGCTGGTATCACGTATGTTATCCTCTCGCTCTGAATTGTCTTGTCTGCTTCAGACCTTCCGACTGACGTCTTGGTTGACTTTTACAGCTACAACCGCTACTTGACCGTTGCCGCTCGCGCGGTCCGCAGGTCTCTCAAGGACGGTCCCCGTGCTGCTGCTGAGCGCCGCGGAAACATGGACTTGCGTTTCGCCAAGTGGGAGGTTCGTATATGCACGCCTGACATACCCTTCGCCAAACTCAATGGAATGAGGACGGTTTTGACTGACTATTGGTTTCCGGATATAGAACGGCAAGCAGGGTGAAGTCAAGTCCCTCGCCAAGGCCAACGACGAGGCTCTTGCTGCTCAGGCCGAGTCGAAATAAATACCCCGTTCCGAAAGTGTGTGAAAGAAGCCCGGAAGATGTGTATTCTGGATGAAGGATGTTGAGGTCTCGGGTGGAAAGCCATGGGCAGGAATGGAATAGATCTCTGTAGCATATTGGCCCCTTTGATCAGGTCTGAATAGAAAAGAACTATTTCTTCCTGTCGTTCTTCTCTAGCTGGCTAGCAGGGCCCGCTTAACCACAATGTAGTTTTTGTGCCTGCGAGAGCATGGGTTCCTGAACTGAACTCGACGGGCTCTGCTTGAGCGCGTGCGGCTTGTGTTCCCGCAAGTTTTGCCCTGTCCGCCCGACTCCCCGCCCTCCCCTCGCCCGCTCTCGGTCTGCTCCAACTCTCATTCCCCTTCCCCTTTGGAACAACCCTTCTTTTTAGACGACCCAGACAATCTGGCAGCTGGCTGCAAATGATCGTGGTTTCACATGCTGCCTAACGACTCATTCTCTGTTTCGACAATGCGGGTTGTCACGCAGTTGGTAGTCCCGCGCGACATCACCGATGAATTTACATCCGCTGCCTCAAGTGAGCCCACTTCCTCTCTAAAGCCCGCCCTTTAGTTAATCCACCGTATAAAGTGAATTGCCCACTGACTACTTTTCTACCTTTACCTCAGAGCTGAAAACTGGCCAGCTCGTCAAAGATGATTACTTCACGCTTTTCGAAGCAGTTGGGGCGCTGGAGGTCGGTTGCGACTCAATATACTTTTGACAGACGTCCGGCCGATTACATCAAACCAGAAGCTGATATTCTCCCATTTGTAATAGATTATGGACTCCAAGATGGATAGTGGATACCTAGGCCCCGGCGAAAACCATGCGCAGGCTTTGGATGACGATTACGATGTGACGCGGGAGCTTAGTCCGGAGGAGGTTCTAGGTATTATGGACGGATTGCTGTGTCATGAGGTATGTTGAGGTACTCGCACTCGAATTTTTGACGCTGCATCCGACCATGCTAACTGGTCTGTTGCGATAGATGGCATGGCATATGGGCCACCCTCTTTCCCAAACCCTCTTCACATCCCTTTACCTTGATAAGCTCTTATGGCCTGTCCCAAAGTCGCTCGATGAAGCCACCTTCTGTCGCGGACGTGCCGCGAGTAATGACAAGGAAGCCCCGATCGTGCATCTGGTACTGCGTGCTTATTGTCTAGCGCTCCTCAAATGCTGCGACTTTGTTCATGCACGAGTAGCCACTGAATACTATTTCGAGGTTGGTTTCGGCTTACTACATTCTCTTGGCTCCGCAGCTAACAACAATCCTTCATCACAGGAAGAGGACTTTGTCACCCAGCTCTACAATCGCAGTCTGCTGTCGCAATTCGAACCGGAACCATTCTACGACCTCCTTCATCAAGCGATCTATTGGGTTGACGAACAGAAGGACAGGTTGGATGAGAAAGTGCTGCAGGGCATAAAAACCAGACTGCTCTTCCGACGTGACTTTCTGAAGGGCATGGAACAAGATATCGAAGTGACTGAGACGAGGTCAAAGGAGCCGTTTTTGGCTTGTCTGCCTCAATTGGATGATATGGCCAAATCGACGACTCTTGGAGCGCAAGTGCCTGATTCGTTCAGTTGGAAGATCCAAAGAAAACTGGCCAGCACTGTGCCGCCACGACCGATGGTGAATATCAATTTCGACGATGCGCTGGCGCATCTGAGGCGACTATGTCAAGACGCAATTGATCTCCAAGAAGTCATCGGTTACCGCGGTCCTTACAATTTCAAGGTGGGTGGCCACACAGCTTTGTCGCTGCAGCAGTGTCTTATTAATGAACGCAGGTAACTGTCTGGACTTTGCTGTCACGGAAGCCTCAGCCATCAGTATATATCCGATCGCTGGTTCAGTCAATGATCGTAAACAACATGACAATACTGGGAGCCGTCCCGGTTAAACAGTTCCTGTACGATGAGCTCGCGGAGCTTGTACTACCGTCTAGTATACTTCTGCAAGCCAACATGGACGATATTGAGGTGCCTTCAGACCCCCGCTTCCAGATTGCCAAGCAAATGGACGCATTCGTGCAGCGCTTCTCCCAGGTAGGCACCTCCCATTCTCTCTTCCCGTGTATAGGTTTCTATCCCAGGCTTGACCCGACTAATACTCCTTGCAGCCCTTTGTGGACACGTTCCGTAGTTCCTGCCTGAATCGCTGCCGCATCCGCCGTACTGTTTGCCATACCATTGTCGACTGGGATAACTTGCAAATGGAGGTAAGTCTCCCGACATTCCAGTCAGCATGGGTAGGGCTAATCCTCTGTAGGCGGAAGATCTGGATGAGCAACTCCGTACCCTCAGCGAAGAACCCCCGCTGATGCTCGCTAATGGCGACGCAACGTACTCATACCCTCTTAGTAGCTGGGCCTACCATCAGAAACTGGTTCAATTCCGTCTCATTCTTCAGCTCGGGTTCGAGCTTTCTATCTACGCACCGGAAGAACTACCGGGGATGTACTGGTACCTGTCCCACATTTGTTCTACCCACCTAGGCCATATCGATCGTATCCGCACGTTCACTGTCGCCACGGCCAAACGAAACCTTCCCGATGTGGCCGCCAAGAAGCGCGATGCTCTTGAACGCCATGCTGCCCTCCAGAAGTCCCTCAAACTGCTCGAACGGCTCACGACGCACATCGTTGCGATTGACGCATTTGCGATTTCCCTGCACGCCCTGTACGTGCTCCTTGCTCGCCATCGTGTCCTGCCAACAGCCTCTTCACCCCAAGCGTACTCCAGCGACCGGTTGCGCTACGAACTCCGCATGAAACCCTTCCTTTCAATCACCTTGCCGGAATTGGTCCCCTACGATGAGTACCGCCGGGAAGCGGTGCTCGAAGGGGACAGTGACGAGATCGTGCTGGAGCGTGCCACTAAGGCGATCTCGGAAGCCCGGAAAGCGTGGGAAGCCACGCTAGCGAACGGGGCTTTTATCCGCGATTCCGATGGCGAGGAGAGCCCCGCACCAGCCATTGAAGAAGACTGGAAGCGCGACATCAAAGACACGAAGCGCGCCTGCATCGGTGCCAGTATTGCAATCGGAACAGTCAAGGAAGCATTGGAGAAGCGCACGCCAAAGGAACCATCTGATGAAGCGGCCAACCGCCCATCGGTAAACCTCCAGGTGACCATTCCAGAGGTTGGGAGTAAGGCCCGTTGGCATGATTGGTGGATAGTGCCGCAGATCTCCCAAGGGACAGTAGCAACCTCTAAGAAGACGTGAAGGGCGTCCTCTCTCTACGGCGACCGGTACTTGCCAGGCGGGCGCGAGTCGTGACAAGTAAAACAGACCCTTGTTGCCCTTCCCGCCGCGATCTTGACGGGGATTAGACCACGCGACGGCGGTCCCCCAGGGGCTGTGTGCGTCCTTCCCACCTTCGGCTGGAAGCGAAGACGACCGGCGCGGAGTAGTAGGCACATCCTGTGGCGGGAACGACAACGCTGATTGGCACCTCTGAAGCTGTGCACAAGAGCCGACCGTCCCCAAATGTTATCTAAATTACTTAGTGAAGCCCTAGGCAGCTGGTGTGGAGACATGCCCGATGCATCATGAAGTCATGTATACTATAAGATACACCAAACATACCGATCACATTGATGATGGTTTTCGATCTCTTACCTGGTTAACCCGACCTGCAGAGACAATAAGAGTAAAGGAAACACGCCAATAACATCAATCAAGCAGATCGATATCACCTTTCGATTGACACGTAATTAGACCACTTAGCCTCATCAGTTAAGGAAGGAGCGATCCAAACGTTACTGTAGTAGTCGTACCACTATCTACCAGCTCGCCTCGGTGGGAGAGAAGCAGTAAGAAGGATGTAATGTACAAAGCAGATCAGCCCATACCCATCCCTCAATTCCTTCCTTCCTTCCTTCCTTTCTTTCTTTCATACACTTACCTTACTTACTTACCCAGTCAGCTGACCCCGACCTGTCAAACTGCTTCGCCTTTACTACCTCTCAGCTCTCGCTATCCATCTCTCACTACTACAGCATCCATCAGCCTCTCTATCCCGGACTTGACATCCATCATCATTCCATCTTCCGACCTTCATTGATCAAGATGGGGAACAATATCGAATCATTAACCGAACTGCACGTTGATTATGCATTATGCAGTGATTGCTTGGGTTGCTAGCTCATAGCTCGCTCACTACGATACCGGGGTGAAAATGAGGTGGGAAACAATTAAATTTACTAAACCTGAAGTGACTACATTGCACTAACTACACTAATGTCCTGAACTAGACTAACAAGTGGGGATAGACAGAGTTGCGTTGACGAACTCAGTTAACTAAACCAGGGAGTTGCGTCGATGACCTCACCGGACCCGAGACTGTGGATGGATGGAATGGAATGGTGTGGACACAGCCGGGAAGGAAGGGCAGCGCCAGGATGAGAAGAACGAACGATGAGGGAACATCAGATGAACACCAATGGGCGATTAATCATTGGGTGGGAAATTGCCGAGCGGGAATGATTCACGGTTGGCTTGGTCCATGCGGAACAACAGACAGACACATTGAAAAGAACAAAGGGAAGGAAGGAAGGAAGGAAGGAAGGATTGAAGGGAAGCTGCCAAAAAGACTAACGATCGGGAACTCAACAATTGAGGGGAAAGGCATGATAAGATCTACTACTATTACTACCGACAATTTATAGATTTTTCTTCATTGCACGACTCTCTCCAGTTCCCGATTGGAACTTTGTTGAGAACCGGATGGAGGGGGAAGAAGGAGAAGAGAAGAGAATGAGACAACACGCCATCTCGGAAGGTTCCAATTCCACGGCACGGAATTCCTCAGCGGGCCTTTGGGGTTTGGGTTTGAGTTAGTTGGTCGGTTATGCCATTTTCTGCTTTTCACTCTCTTGCCGATGTCTGCCTGACTAACCGGTCGAGTCAGAGAGACACCCGAGAGGAAGAGAGAAGGAGACAGACGGAGGGAAAGGAAAGAGCTGAGAGAGAGAAGAGCCGGATCGGATCCCCTCCAAAAGCCAGTTAGTTCATCACCCCAAAGCTTGCTTGCTGTCGCTGCTGCTGCTCCCCAGGAAAAGATCGGCTTATGCATTGATCGGAGGATCGTCTATCTAACCTCGACCATCTTGTCCCCATCTTTTTGTTACTATCTTTACTTCCACAACTGTCACTCCTCATCATACTTTCTCAGGGCTTCACTTGCCTAAATCCAAACCTACTATTATTTCTGCTCGAAGACATCTGCTTATTATCATGGTGATTCAAAATCCTACGAGCAGCAGCAGCCGGGGTCGGACCCATTGATCGGTGAGTGTCTTGTCTCTTCTCTCCCCCCCTCCTTCTGCCTCTTCCTCCGTCTGGCTTTCCACTGTTTCGCCCTCCTCGGCAGCCCATCGATGAAATTTGCGTGTCCTGCTCCTCTGCCCAGTCCTAATGCGCCTATCTCCGTCGCGCTGAGAGTTGCTGACGTCTCGGCCCGTCTAACTCGATTCCTCATTCGCTCGCAGCTCTTTCGCTCCCTCTCTCTCTTTCTCTCTCTCTTGCTCTCCAATTTGCACGTGTCGTATACATTTTTTTGCTCGTTTTTTTGTTTTCAAACACTTTCGCCCAATGTCTCACATCTTTACTCACGTTTGCACTACGATTAGAGCCCCGTTTCGGAAATTAAGCGCGCGTGTATGATCGTCTGGTTGCACAGACAGACGTTTTGTCTATCCCTTCCCTTCCGTCACGCACATCAATCCCCGAGATTCCCCTCCCAAATAGCGGGGACCAAGCAAACGTCTGCAAATCCTACCGCAAGCAATGCCTACCTATCCTATCCGTCGCCGGCCGCGCGAGTGTAAAACTTGTCTACCCTGCCGTGCCAGCAAGGTCCGCTGCGATCGCAATGTTCCATGCGGTAACTGCGTCAAGCGCAACTTCACCTGCTCCTACGGTCGTCCTCCACCCACCGCTCCCAGACCGGCCTCCTTCATTCCCGACCAGTATGCCTCGTCCGCTACGACCCCCGCCACCAATACGCCTCAGTACATGCCTTCCGCGGCTTATCAGCCTGCCGCCCATCGCGATGGTCCCTACGGTGCCGATCCCGAATCAGCCAGCTCTGCCAACCAGGATGGTCTATCAGAGATGGTAACGCTGTCGCAAGAGGAATGGGACGAGATCAACTCCAAGATGCAGACAATGGAACAGATCCTGACCAGTTTGGGCTCTTTGTTTCAGGCGCACGGCGCGCGGAAAGTCGCCCACTCCCGATCGGAACCGTCGCAGGAGCAGGAGGAGGAAGACGACTCGCCTGCCTCCGAGGGCATCTATGGATCAACTACGCTGAGAACAAACTCAGTCCACATCGGATCGAGGTCTGCTCTGGTGGACATTCTAGACAAATCGAAGGTTTCCGAGGACACGGCGCAGGCGCTACCCAAAGATGACCTTCTTACCGAGCTGGCGATGGGGAACGAGTCGGCCGCCTATCCCTTCGTGGACCTTTGGTCGTCCGATCCGTATACGTTCAATATCTCTGGCGTGTGCAGTGTGCTGCCCGACGATGAGCAATGCCGAAAATTTCTAGCCTTCTATCGGAATATTGGTGCGGTGCTGTATCCCGTGCTGCCCGATCTCGTCAAGTTTGAGGCGGACATGAACAAGCTGTTGCAGGGCCGACAGGCCGCGGGTGGCGTATATAGTCCGGATGCTAATGGCCTAGTGAAGCCGTTTGGCATGAGTGTCTCTTTTCTTAGCCTTCTATTTGCTGTTTTAGCGTCTGGCTCTCAACTATCTGATCTGCCTGGGAAAGAACGCGAGTTGACCTCGTGGGTATACGGTTGGTCGACACTTCCACACTAGCTTCTAATCATTTCATACTTACCCGCCCTAGTGTCTTGTTCTTACCATTGCCTGCGCATGTTGAACTATGTGTCTCAGCCATCCCTGGAGGTGATCCAGATCCTTTTGATCATTGGCAGTGTCTTGTCGTATAACATGAACGCAGGCGCATCTTACACGTTGCTGGGTGAGTAACATTCACGCACCCGAGGCAGCAGCTTGAAGCTAATGTACTCGACGGAAAGGAATGACGGAGCGAATGTGTATGGTGCTGGGCCTCCATGTCGAGACCTCGGGTTTTTCGCGAGCCACGCAGGCAGCGCGGAGAAGAGTATGGTAAGGGAAACCATCGACAATCATGAGAGTGACTGGAAAGTTCTCCGATGCTAATGCGCAACGCAATCAGGTGGGCGATGGCTTTTCAGAACAGTCATTTTTCCTTGGCGTATGACCGACCATCCATCACCATGATCAACCAGCCGGAGATCCCGTACGATCCGAAATCGATGCCCGGTCACCGAGGGTATTTCGAAACGCTTTGCCGCCTGATTCAGGTTGTCCTCGACATGCTGCGAGGGCTGATGTTCACCCACCATTCCCACCTGCGGTACCACGAAATCCGGGAGTATAAGCAGCGCATTGAACGAATCATTGCCGAGGCCGCACCGCATTTGAAATCTCGCGAACGCTGTGCGACGCTCGGGGAGCATATCGAACGGACCGAACTGCGACTCCATTCCTCGTATTTCATATCTCTCATGTGCCGAGTTTCGTTGGATCCGGAAACTCCGATGGATGAACAGCGGCGCGAAATTGTTCGGGAGGATTGCTTGACGAACTTGAGAAACACGATCGAGGCATTCATTGAGCTGCATTCCATCAATTCCCATGCCTCGCGAACCTGGATTAGCCTGCAACGAACCATTGCGTCAGCATTTCTTTTGGTAGCGAATAACAACGATAAGTTGCATCCGCAGACGTGGGACTTGATCGAGAAACTGGAAGCGGCGTTGTCGGACCATGTCCATGACGATAAGAGCAGCGACCACAACAGCAAGACGGACACTGCCAAGCACCTTGCATCTTCCCTTCACGCTCTTCGGGAGGTCAGTGCCGCCTTCCGTGCGCGCAAAACGCGCCACCGGGTGGTGCCGAAAGTGGTACCTAGCCTGCAGAACACTTCCCCTGCCACCTCGTTCGCATCGCCATCCTCCACTCTGGGATCGGGGGTACCAGCGTACTCCTCTGGCCAGAGCGTTTCTCCAGATGGGCATATTGACAACATTCTTAACCAGGTTTCGGATGTAATGCTATTTCCCAGCATGAGTTCGGGAAATGCTTGACCCATCAACCGGGCAGTCATCCAAACACATGATAGTTAGTGAATTTGTGCGACGGCCCCAACGGACGCGGGCGCACGGGCTCACCCACCCGGTCCCTCTCACCCGCTGTTGGGTGTATGAAGCGCCCCGTAGAGAGTACACCTACACCAGTGAGACGGCTGAGAGAAGTCGTACCAGCAGACTCCTCCGCTGAACAACCGTGTCAGTCATGCCGCATATATTACAGTGTGCCCCTTGGGCGAGCCTTGATGGCCCTATAGCCAGCGTCGACAAGCTTCCCCCTCCCCCCCTGATAACTAGCGGTGTGAGGGGGGTGAAAGAATCGAGCAGGATGCAGAATTCTTCAGACATAGCAAGAAGGAAAGTGGGGGGTTGGTTCGTTCAACTCCCGGGGAGTAGTGAGGGGGGTTTTACTGAGGACAGGGCGAGACGAGGCCAGGCAGCGGGCGGGTATTTGTAGCGGAGAGATGGGCGGACCGGGGCGTGAGAAGCAGCCTTCCCCCCTTCGCGGCGGAGGTTGGATGGCGATGAAGATGGGCTGCTGCTGCTGCGTCTTTGAGTTTGACGACGAGCTTGACTCGCGGATCAGGCAGCTTCCTTGCCCGGCCGAAGAATGACCGCTTCGGCCGAAGAAAACGATCGCCCGAACATTCCTCCCGGAATTGGCAGTTCGTCGGTTTGGGTTCGAAGACGATTTCCAGTTCGGTTCCGAATTCCTGTAATAATAATATCCTTTTAAAAGTTTGATTAGAAGATCTTGTCGTTTTCGAATTCCCTCCCCAAGTCTCTCCCCTTCAGGAACCACATTGCTCGTGATCGTCTTTCCTTCCTGGTGTTTCGTCCCTCTTCTTGTCGGGCGCCGAAACAAGTGGGAGTAGCTTCGCGGTTATTTCCTTTTGCACGTTGGGGGGCCCCGTCTAGTGAGTGAGCGCCAAGGCACGGTTTAAAAGCCTCATCGACCAACTCATGAGGTATGAGTGTAAAGGCGATGAGAATGTGGGTGAGTAAAAGAGAGAAATAAAGAAGAAAAAGTGAACAAAATGGGACACCCAAAAAATATTAGGGAGGATGAATGAGGCTTCGAACCAAAAGCCAGGCTGTCTTGTCTGTTTTCTTTGCGATGGAATCCACACCTCTCGTTTCAAGTGAAGGTTGGCCCTGTTGTTCGGCCGGATAGCACCGATCCATGAGCCGAACGGCGAGACCCGGAAAGTCCGAAATCAGGAAGAAAAAAGGGGGGGGGGGGGCAGCAGCAAAGAAAATAAACAAAAAAAGAGGGACGGTGGCGGATTCACTACTACCACTACTATTACTACAAAGTACTAGTATTATCCAGTCCGCGCACACCAAAGTTATGTGTCACGACTGACGAGTACTATATCACTAAACTAACCTACTACTTAGGTACGTACTACTATATCGCTCGTGACAAGGCTGCGGGGTCAACCGTTGAGCCTAGTTTAGGATCGATTGACTGATTGATTAATTCCTTGGTCCGGTCGAACCACACTTCTTCCTTTTCTTGTCTCGGGGCCGAAACAAGGGCGAACTTGGAACTTCTATTTCGGTTTCTGTTTCTGTTCCAGGCCTTGCAACCCTGACTCGTCGTCTCTTCTCTCTTCTTTCTCACAGCAAAAACACTTCCGCGGACTAGATACTACCCCGATTGTCGGATACCAGTGGTTGCTGTGCTCTCTTTCTCTGCCTTGCATTCTATTGATGCACGTACCGTGACACACTAGGGCGCACGCATGAAAGACTATATCATATTTGGAATGAAGATCGTCAGTGGATGCTGGATGCTGGTGCTCTAGTTCGCTCTTCCCTGCCTTGGTTTGGTTTGGTTGTGTCGGCGGGCGTTTGTTCTTTTGTCCTATCCTATCCCTTCTCCCGGTGTACGTTGTACCCTTCTTCTATACTACGTACTCCCGGCAGTCTCGTTGCACTGAGGGAGGGGAGGGAGGGAGGGAGGGAGGGGTGTCGCGTCAGTCCACTACCACCAGCTAGCCAGCTCAAGTGACATACACGCGAGTGATCATACAATCTAGGACAGGGATTCGAATCCAGAGCGGATACAGCCATGTCTTGTCGGCTCGGACGTTTAGGGAAGACAGTGCACGGCTAGCAGAATGGTAACGGCCATCCTAAACCTCCTGAATCCTGAGTGGTGTAATGTGCGCGCTGCGGTTGTAGCCAGGACCTGGCTGGCTGGCTGGCTGGTTGGCTGGCGTGGGGTCGGGCGCAGTAATAGTCAAGGAAACACAGTAACTGGATATGTTCGACCCTGGACAGGTATACCGTATGATCCCTTATCCTCTGAAGGATCCGGCCGAAACGGTTGTTCTAGTTCAACCTAGCACGTGGCTTTGGCTAGGGTCCCTCCACGGATATACCCTTCGGGGTAAGGACGTGATGCGCAATTGGTCTGTCCTTGTATCCTCATGCCCTTATCCCCCCTGTCTATCATCTCTCAACCGTCGGATATACGGTAAAAAGTTGAACCCTGGGTTCAACTGGATAATAGTTGTGACGTATGCGCCAAGGGCTCCGGGCGTGCGGAAAAGGCCTCATCCTGTCAAGGCAGACATTTTCTTAGAACCCTTATCGCAGTGATACTGTTCGCGGGCATGATGGCAGGATGTAGGATGGTGGGACTGGGGCCGGACTTGTCTGGTCGAGGATATGCAGTACGTAGTTAACCTGTGCCTGTGCATTCTTCTGTGCGGGTGTGATGGAAGAACTAAGCAGTAGAGGATTCGTAGTAATGGAGATCGAGAGTGTAGAGGAACGTAAAGTACGAGATCAAGTTCAATGTTTCTTCCTGTCATCCGAGTTGGATGGAACCTCAGGCACACCGAGGGATCTCGTGACGAGGCGCACGGATTCGATTTTCCTTTTTGACTTGGACTTCCTCTGCATCTCCATCAATGCTGCCTGGTTGAGCTTGTCCGCATCTCACTTCCCGGTTGTAAGCTTATGCCCTGTTTGTGGTTTCATCATGGATCGTGAACCAGCTTGATGATAGATTCGCTGAGAATGAGATTGAGTGCAACTGGGTTGGACAAGCTGGGTTGTTGCAGTGCCTCACTTACGGTCGATGATTTGCCATATAGGAGCATCAAGAAAGGAAACCTATACGTGGCTGCACTCATCCAATCAGTGCACAAGAATGGCTCGAATGCCTCAGCGGCACCCATCGGTTTGATGAACTACCGAAGTCCACCTCCATTTGACCTTAACTTCATTCTCTAGACACTACCTGCATCTATCGATCACTTATTGCACGCTAACCAGAAGGAACGAAACCCCTCTACTTCACACACTATCCAAACCAAACCAGCAGTGCCCGACAACTTGAACCCTGGTAAGCCTCGCTTCATCTCCTTCACCTCTAAAAACCAGATATTACTTAGAATCGGCATTCCACGGCACGACCATCTTGCACAGTACAAGCTAACAAACGCCCCAAACACTAGGGTATCTACATCCCGTCAGAAAAACCCAGTCTAGATAGATGCCGATCCAGCGAGCTCGCCTCAGTGGATACCCCTCGGCCAAGACCCGGAAACGACCGGAAACTGGTTCCTTTGAGCGAGATTATTCTCCATCTCGCAAACTGGTGCTGGTTCGATCGCGGCTGGGTGTTGTATCAGGGTATCTAACCAGATCCCGTTCTCTGGCCAAGGGGCTAGAACCGTGGCTCGGAACTATCTTCCAAAGGGGAATGACGGGCCCGATCTGGTGGAAACCGTGGAAAGCCAATTTGAGGGCCGCTCGGGCGATCCTTGGGTACGATGAGACATTATTTTCCGTCTTTCCGTATGAAGGTAGGCGCTTTCGGCCGCAGGTTGGTTCCCTATTGCCGTTCCTTACTCTTCTTTAGTGCAGCGCTGTTAGATCATCACTGGGATTGACACGCAGAATACTGCAAGGGGGATCATGGTCACGGACAATGGGGTGTTTACTAAACTAGTCAGTGGGTGTGTTGGATTAGTTGGCACTAAGGATTTTCATCTCATGTGCAGTGAGATTTGTTTGGCTCGCAAGCGTGCATGGCCTCGCTTAAATGGAGACTGACTGGATTCGTTTAGTCGGCTTCGCTGATAGATTCAGTTGGTGGTTGACTAACCGAACATTCTTAGCTCCTCTGATCACTAGCAATGCTCTGGTCGGGCTGAAGCTCGAGAAATACTACAGGGCTTCGACCTTGTTCTTGGCGGTCTTGCTGGACTGAAAAGAACAAGATCCTTTGTCATTGCTGTCTGCCCCGGACATTTGCTGATGGAATAGATCTCGTGCATAACCTCACTGGACCCCACATACTATCGGATGAGCGGTGTAAGCACAGCGGATAATTGCACAATAGGGGTGCATCCTTACCAGTCACCAACAATGAGAATTACAGAGTGATGCTAATCCTGGGAATCAAGAATAATCTAAGCAGCATAGCAACAGGTCATACGCATTCGAACCCCCTTCGCGTGTCTGAAATGCGATTTCTAAGCAGGAATCCTCGAACTTCGAGCCTCAAACTTATGAAAATCTGATAGATCGCCGATTTCATATCATTGGTGTCAAGATCCAGGCTCGGACGAAGTGTTTCATACGATGGAAGGTTGGGGAGAAGAATTGCCTAGACCATGGCAAACGGATCCTCAGGCAGGTGCTGAGCGCTTAGGGAGGCTGTGGCTTGACCAGTGATGCTGGTCCAAAGCCTTTCACTGAGCTCTGTATAGCGTGGGGGTTGCACACATCCCCCAGTGATCACCCAGTCTGGCCTTGAAATTGGCAGTGTACTCTTGGAAGCCAGACCTAGGATGGATGGAGCATGGAGGGTCTACTGAACTACAGTGAAGTGTGCCAAAGTGACAGGCCTCCAGGTGAAGCGGTTGAGGTTGTGCAAGTTCTTTAGTGACGGCGGAGACCATTGGCTTTTCTCCTGGTGCGACAGTTACTGCATAAAATGTTCAGCTGCAGACCAACGGACCTTTGCAGTTAGGGGAAGCCAAAAACCACCAAAAGCGACCACATACATGACCAACGCCGACGAGCTCAAGTGATAATTGAGATAGGGCGCTAATGATACATCAAACTAAGCAAGCTGGCGATCACTACCAAATAAATATAATGTCAGTCGCTGCAGCATGCTAGACAAGGATGTGTGATCGACTGGATAGCAATGTGCATCGGTTATGAACGATATCAGCAGCATGAGACGCACTGGGCCCATAGTTCATACTAGTGTCCCTAAAACAAGATTATCACGCAGCTTACAGTCGCACAAACTTGAAATCAAGAAGTCGACTGGCCTATCGAAGACTGTGTTGGGTGCAGTCTCCATCAGTTCGAGAAACATCCCTGTTTGGACAAGGCTGCTAATTGGTGGGCATACCCATATTCATGCTGTTTGCTTAATGCAGAAGTCATCCCAATGCATGAACCTCAACCTGGACAGCAATCTACATGATTGTCCACCCCTATCCATGTTGTGCTAAGTCTACACCGCAATAGCTCCCATCTATACAGGTTTCTTCCATTTAAAAGCACCATCCAGCCCCCCCCCCCCCCTTATAGCCATACTCACTGTCGACTCATCATCCTACCAAACCTCAAAACACCCGAGCTCTAAGACCATGACCCTCACAACAGACTACCATTCAGGCAAAGCCTACGTCCTAACCGGCGGCTGCTCAGGCATCGGCCTCGCCGTCCTGCACTACCTCCTCGCACGATCCGCCATCATCCACATCCTCGACATCTCATCCACCCCACCAGAACTCCCCTCCCACCTCTCCCAGAAGGAGAAAAACCTCCACTTCTACCCCAACACAGACGTCTCCTCCGTAAACGCCGTCCAAAAAGCCTTCGACCAAATCACCACCACCACCCCAACCCTCCACGGCCTAATCAACAACGCCGGAATCGCCTACCAACCCGTCGCCTTCGGGTTCGAATCCGATGATATTTTCAACCGCGTCATGGATGTAAATGTCCGCGGCGTATGGAACGTGGGAAACGCATTCCTCTCGCACATCCTCCCAAGCGAAGCCGATCAGCAGTTCAACCCAGCGACAGCTAGAGAAGGCCGAGGCGTGATTGTGAATCTATGTTCAACGGCATCTTTCCACGCTAACCCGGGGTATGTGTCATACACGGTGAGCAAGCATGCCGTGTTGGGCATGACGAAAGCATGGGCGGCGAACTTTGCGGGCCAGGGGGTGAGAGTTAATGGCGTGGCGCCGGGAGCTACGGATACGCCTTTGATAGATGGTATCTCGTTTAAGGATAAGCAGGAGCAATACCTGAGTCAGGTGCCATTGGGTAGGAGGTGTGCTAAACCTGAGGAGATAGCTGATGCGGTTGGGTTCTTGTTGGGCAAGGAGTCGAGTTATATGACGGGACAGGTGATTACTGTGGATGGGGGGAGATATATATGATGACTACTAGTGATAGATACTATATGTAGCACAAACCCAATACTGAAAGATAATCATTATCAACCCCCAAAGCACCTCCTCCACCGGCCTCACCACAACCTCCATCCTCTCCCTCGCCTGCCCAAACGTCTCCACCTCCTCCACCACATCCTCATCTCCAAACCCAACCCTAACCATATTCACCGTCCTTCGACTCTGCTCCCCCGTAAAATAATTAACCGGCACAAACCTCACCCCCGCCACCGCAGTTGTCATCACCGTATTCAGGTAAATCCCCGGTAGTAGGAACATGATGCATCGCCAGATTAACCCACACCACCAGATCCGTCTGACTGAGGTCCTCGCCATCGAAGTACTCGTCGAAGTTAATCATGGGGTTATATACGTCTTGGTTATTGTATGGATATGCGGACCGCGATTCGTGGTCGTGGTGTTGGGTGATTTGGATGTCGTGTTCGGACCAGTGGGCTGCGTGGATGAGGGTGCTCGAGTTTATGATTGTTAGGTGGTTTGTACCTCCCCCTCCGGAGGAGGAGGAAGAGGAAGGGAGGATACGGTAGCCGCGGTATTCACCGTAAGCGTTACGGGCGTCTTGGTTTATGTGCTGAGCATCGTTTTTGTTGTTGCTGATTGGGGAAAGTTGAGACGGCTTTCTGTTTCGGAGGAGAGGATGCGGCGGGAGAGGTGCATTGTGTTTCGCGGTTGGTTGGGGTTGGACCATGGGTAGGAGGTTGTGATTGGGACGAGGGAGGGAGGGAGGTGAGTTCGATGGAGTTTGCGGTGCTGAGGATGTCGAAGTCGGCTTTGAAGTTGAGGATGTGGTCGTGCATGGAGCCCGAGAGGGCCGAGTGGATTGGGTAACCGTAGTTGGTGTTGTGGGCGGAGTGGGCGGAGTGGGCGGCTTGGATGTAGCCTGAGGCGCGGACTTTGATGCCGATGGTGCCATCGAGGTGGAAGGTGTAGCTGTGATTTGACTTTTAGTGAGTGAGTGAGTGAGTGTGTGGGAAGGGTAATACCTGATGGTGTAGTCGTAGTTGCCGATGGTGGAGACGGGTCGGAGAATGAGGTAGATGTTCTTGGTGGTGGAGACGTAGCTTGGGTTGGTGTGTCGCTGGATGGGGTAGTCGGCGTCGTACTCAAAGAGACAGAGACTGTCGATATGGGTATGTGTTGCTTCGGACTCGTAGAAGGAGGTGTTGAGGTATGTGGCATAGATTGGACAGTCGTAGCCTTTGACGAGCTCGAATGTGTACGGGCCGAACCCGTAATAGGAGTCTAGGTATGCGGTACTGGATTGGACGGGGTCGGTTTCTGCGTAGTGTGACAGAGCTTCTTGTAGGCCTAGCTAGTATAGAATGCGCTGGCCTTTGTAGCGGAGGTCGAAGATGAAAACACCAGTCTCGCGGGAGGAGCCGATATAGAAGAGGAAAACCCATCCAGGTTACGTATTTTTGTTCTGTGTCGAGAGCGTACCGTGCTCCTGATGGGGCAACCATGACTGGAGGCTGCTTTTGATCTTCTGAGAGGATCGGCCCCTCTTGGTCTGTTCGCGCCCAAGTCGCCTTCAGTGTTGGAGGGCAGCTTGACGAAGCCTGGGGAGTAGTATGCCTTGCGAAAAGCGTTGGTGGTTTCGTAGAATATGTTATTGTAGAGCCAGCCCTCCAGCTTCCACTTGGATGGATCACGGCCTGTGATGTCGGACTTGAAGATTAATCCCAGGGGCAGAATGCTGCTGGCGTCGAAGTCGTCAACAGGGAGATTCCAAAATGTACCCCAACGGATGATCCGACCATCATCCTGCCATAGGGGGTCAATCCCTGGGATTCTTATGGTATCATTGTTTAGGCCTAAGACTGTGCCGTTGAAGAGGTCCAGAGTGATGTCGACTATCGAAGCGCTGATCTTGTATAGCCATTCAGAGTAAATAGTGTCGTGGTCAGCGACAAGATTACGTATGCGGCCTTGTGTCTTGCGCGTGTAGGGATATTCCAGTGGCACCCATGTGGTGGTAGATTTGTTTGTAATTGGTAGAGGTCCAACCAGTAGTTCGGCGTAGTATGGGTCGAGAGTAGCACGCACGTCGAGCACGACCTGCGCATAACGCCTGGGAGGGGGGTGATCGTGGTCCAGATACTGCAGCACATCGGACTTGTTCGGACGCGTCAGTTCGACAAGGAAACTGTATGGTCAGCGTGCTGCCATGAACGGAGTAGCTAAGCTTACATTGTATTGTCCCACTCCCCGGCATCGTCGGCGGCGGTTAGGTTTAGCTCAGGCTGTTGGAACAGCCATTGCACAACAGATGCCGTCTCAACTTCTGTCAGGCCTCCCGAAATGTTTTTATTGGGAGACTTGATTATTGTAAAGTTACTCGACGTGCCTGAAAATAAAAGTGTTGCGGAGCGAGCTTGCAGGTTGTGCATCCAGCCCTTTCTCACTTGACCGTGGCGTACCCATCCTGGTTTGTGCTAGGCCGAGACCGAGCTAGTACATCGCTTGTGAGAACTATAAGCAAGAGACAGAGCATCTTTAGTGAAAAAAATCCGTCGCATGTTGGGCGATTGAGATTCATATATAATGCTTACATCAGATACGCAGAGTAGAGTTCGTCTGTATATACCCGCAAGCCTCTGTGTAGCTCAGCTGATGCCATAGTCACACCAAGAATGTCCCCGTATACGATCACGCTTGTTATAATCCCGAAGTGGATGTTGCGTTTCCTGATCGGGATTCATTCTGCAGGTGGACTTGCTGGAACAAACAAGATATCCTGCATCAAACGAGTATTGGCTCGATAGCCTAGGTTATGGGGAAGTTGAAGAGAATTTGGACCCTCGGTCACGGCTGTGCTTAAGTTCGGGCACTTATGAGCGAATAGGTTTATCGCGGCACGGGTGATGAAGAGCTTCAAGGATGTCTTTTTATCATCATGGTCAGGCTGTAGCTTCTGCACGGGACAAATAAGCACTAATGCACTACAGGCAGCATAGTTACACTTTGACAGCTCCAATCGGAAGATAATGAAAAGGTGAAGAATACAGAGAGTTTGGGGATAAACCTACAGCTGTCGAACACGCAACGGCGTCGTTGATCATCTTGGTCACAAGTTGCTGGATTCTTCGTGTTATCTCTCAGACTGGAAAGTGGAAAATATATTCCCTGTCAAAAATGTTTCGGGCATTCCGAGATCTTTTGTTGAAGCCTGAGAAGCGATCGGCTGATGATGTGAGCTCGAGGAGCGGGGTAGGATTAGTTGGAGGCCTAAAGTTAGGTTCTGGATTCCTCCGTGTCAGAAGAATAGTCAGAACATAGACTTTTATGTCCTGGAAATGGCTTCAAACCCGCAATGAGAATCACGAAGCAGCTATGAGGATGGGAGAGATGGTGGAAGATGGAGAGTGGAAAGATCGCGGCCATTCAGCCTCAGATCGCGTGACCGCCCGCTCCCCTTATTTGAGGATTTGCAGGCCATTACAATTCTATACTTATACTTACTGCATGCTATGGAGAGTCCAAGCTTTGACTCATGAAGGTGGCCTTGGGAACGTCATCCTCGTGTTTCGTCTCAAGGCCAGCAACCAGGATGTGTCTTATGAGGCCCGCCACTGCAAATGCGGTGACTGGTTATGGTGCAGCCACATATGTAAGGATCCTTAGCCAAGGACAGAAGCATTGCAGACGTCGGACAAGAAATGTAAGCAGAGCACAGGGATATAAATTGGTCAATCCCGGCGAGCTCACAAGAAGACAGGTGAAATCTCATCCCAAAACCGTGCCCCTGGCACCAGCAAGATGTCCCATGAATATTGCCTCGACGCCCTCGTTGTAGGGACGGGTTTCTCTGGTATCTATACCCTGTATACCCTCGTCAAGGAAGGCTTGGATATCCTGGCGATTGAAAAGGAAAGTGACGTCGGTGGCACATGGTATGTGAATCGATACCCCGGAGCTCTGAGCGACAGCTGGAGTCATGTTTATCGCTATGCCTTCGACGAAGAACTGCTCCAGACCCATCCGGTTGTGAGAAGATATTCTACCCAGCCGGAAATCCTAGACTATCTCAAGCGAGTTGTCGAGAAACATGATCTACGAAAGCGCATCCATTTCAATACGGAGATGACCGCAGCCGGATGGGATGATGTTGCTAAGGAGTGGAGGGTCCAGTGTCAGACTGGCGATATATTTCGCGTGAAATACCTTGTCACGGCTGTTGGGATCCTCGTCAAGCCCAAGGTTCCCAATATCCCTGGTCTAAAAAGCTTCAAGGGCCAGGTAGTCCATACAGCTGCGTGGGATCCAAGCATCCAAGTGGAGAACAAACGTGTCGGTGTCATAGGCGTTGGTTCAAGCGGGGTACAAGTGGTCACTGCTGTTGCTAGCAAGGTGACATCGCTCCATGTTTTCATCCGTACTCCACAGTATACTATCCCAGCAAACGACAAGCAGATGACCCCCGAAGAACAGAAATCCATGAATGAGAGGTTCCCGCAGGTCTGGTCAAACGTATTGACTTCCCGGCTGGGAATGGGCTTTCTGGAGCACAACAGACCATTCTTGTCCATACCCTCAGAAGAGCGCGAGAAGATATTGGAGCATCTCTGGAGGGAGGGAAACGGTATCCAGATGATGTTTGCAGCATTTTCAGATATTGCTATAGACGCAGCGGCTAATGAAGAGGTTTGCCGATTCCTTCGCAGGAAGATTGCACAGATTGTGAAGGATCCCGAGAAGCGGGCTGTTTTGACTCCAAAGGAGGCCTGGAATCGACGACCGTTGTCAGACGCTGGATTCTATGAGCAGTTCAACCGGGAGAACGTGTATGCGATTGATATAAAGAAATATCCCATCACCAAGGCAACGGCAGAAGGTATCTGTACTTCAGACGGCAAACTCCACGAGCTAGACATGATAATAGTCGCAACTGGCTTTGACGCTATGGACGGAACCTTTGCTCAAATAGACATTCAAGGGCGTGACAAGGGCGAAACTCTGTATGACCGCTGGAAGCGTACTGGTCCGGACTGTTACCTAGGCTGCTCAGTTGCCGGGTTTCCAAACCTGCTGACAGTGCTTGGTCCGAGGGTGGCTTTCGGCAACGTGCCTCCTTTACTGGAGATACAGGTTAGCTTTTTGAGAGACGCGATCCGACAGGCCCAGGATATCACCAGACACACAGGGCAGCAATGTGAGATCGAAGCCACGGAACACGCCGAGCGCGAATGGACTGAAGTATGTGAGCAGATAGCGAAGATGCTTCTTTTCAACAAAGGATCATCGTGGATGTTTAGGAAGAACGTACCAGGAGACGCAACGTCGAGTCTTTTCTACTTTGGGGGACTGGGAGCGTTCCGAACCAAGCTGGAAGATACAAAAGTCAATGGGTTTGCTGGATTCAAGAGCCCATTAGGCCCTGCTGCAGAAGCACGCGCACAGCTCTAGATCCAACCTGCGAGATATCCTCATTCATTGGGTGTTGATGTACCGAACTGTTAGTTTGTATTGTTTGAAGAAAGCTTCAAATTCGCGCAGGGTTGTATCTTCCTATGTCATTAGAGGTCCAGGCAGTGGATATCACTGGGTCCTAATAATGACCCCAGGCATCACCTTTGCTCGAGTAGGAAGGACCTCCCTGTCAGCCTTGTCGCGTCCCAGACATTAAACTGGCGCGTCGCTATTGGCCAAAAGAGCAGAGTGGATTTTCGCAATTCTTCCAACATCTAGGAGAATGAAGGGCTTCTATTGGCTAGAGCAAATTGCAAATGACCGGTGAAAGCGTCGGTGAAGACAGCTACCATGGACCCGAGATGACGTTGTCACTACATCAAGTTCTAGACTATTACGGAGTAAATTTGTTGACATTGCCGTTCTCCCGATGGTAGCTTCCCAGTTGTATCAAGGCGGAAAATATAGAGTAATTACGAGTCTCATAGAAAGATGAGGAGCATCGCAAGGGAATGGATTTAGATTCAAATCGTAACAATATAGACCCGAAATAGAGCTTGTCCTTAGGACGGAAGCAAAATTGAATCAGAGGACATGTTGAATGTCATTCCTTGATGGCATGCAAAGCAATATCGACAGTGCACTTGACAGTTGGTAGTAGTAGCACAACTTCCCCAGTCAGCCTGGCTGCCACACCTTACTTGGGCAAGGTGACATATTGCCCCAACTGCCCAGAATACAGTTGGCAGAGGTAGATGCACGATTTATCAGGCAATCAAGGAACCATTAGCTCGACTGCCGGTTTTGAATATGCGCAAGACTTACATGCATTGTTGCCCTTTTCGTATATTGCTTCAACATGTCTGGTTTTTCCTGTAGTGTCCCAGTTAGCCTTTCTGCGCTACATAACTACCAAGTGAGTTTGCCTATCAAGACCCGCAATTCACTTACGTCGGGCTTCGCAGGTTTACCAAGCCATTTGTAGACCTCCTCTGCCTCGCTTTTGCCCATGTCCCAGACACGTGTGAGATTTGCAAGATGCAACGCCAGGAATTGACCCTGCAGATTCCAGGTGCTTTTTATGTTCTCATCAGTCTCACTGATCCTATTGATCTGGCTGTTCAAGTCATTCACCTCATTCTGCTTGTCGTCAATCTCTTTCTTCTTGGCTTCATGTGATGTTAGCAGAACAATCTACCCGTCAAAAGACCGAATAAACTCACCAACAACTGCACAGACTAGCCCGAAGACAGTGGCAAACTCAGCACCGACAAAGATAAGCCCGGCGATCTGTGGACATGTCAGATGGACATCGTTGCCTAATGAGCTGATCAGGGTAACAGAAACATACCACGACCCAAGGCGCCCATGGCCCAGCGATCCCCGGCACAAACTGCGGTACCAAAAACAATAAGAACAGCGTCGCCCCCAATTATATAGAGAGCCTGCGTCATATCGTCAATCTGTTTCTGCAGGTCCGTTATCGCGTCACGAAGTGTCTGGATTTGCTTCTGTTTCTCCTCGATCGCATCCTTAGCCCAATCGTGGAAAGAGCCGCTAAATGTACTGAAACTCTTCTGAAATTCGTCGAACTTATCCCGCATATCCTGTTGATCCTTTTCTATCTGTTCAACTGCCTAAACAAACTTCTTAGCACCTTCAAAAGCGAGCTAAATCGAAAAGATTCTTACTTTCATCAGCTTCGTAATCACGTCTTTCGTGTCCTGAGCGGAATGATAATCCGAATTGCAGTATTCGAACTTTATGAGCGCATCGAGTGCCGTAAATAAGTGCTCAGTTCTGAAGAGGGTAAGCCTCAAGTGCAGACGTACCTTGGTACTAAACCGCCATATCGGTGGTTAGTGTCTTGCTCTGGTCCATAACTTGTCTCCAGCTCTAGGAATGAGGTTAACCTGCTGAACGCGCGGCAATTGATAAGGACAGTAACTTACAAAATTGAAGCCCAATAAAATCGTTGGAAAATCTGCCTGTGATATTTTTTTTGCTTCTCCACTTGCTGCAACAGATCCAATGTATATTTGAAGATGTAGTCAATCTGACCGGCAGATTTCAAAGCCTGCTTGACGGCATCCTCAATGGCTTTCTGGCCATCTGTGGTGCTGATGTTCTGTCCCACTTGGTACGTGAGCTCCTTTTCTTGCCCATCGTCAAGTATGTAATGGGACACGTGGTTGTCAACCAGGACCCGGATCTCGTCCGCGGACAAGTTTTGGCCTGCTTCGAGATACTTCTCTGCTGTCGGGTTTGCTCCCTACTTCATTCAGCAGCTTCTGAACGATATCGCGTTCCGATGGCCATTATGAGAGATTGTGACTTTTTCATAACCGCTAAAAGAGGGAAGGATTGCTGGATATGACTGGGTTTGGTCTGAGAGAAAAATCTGAAGATGTCTGAAGGGATGATGAGGGGATTCCTGGCAAGACCATCGGGAGCTCGTATGGTAGTATTATAGACTGCTGAGCAGTTCATGGAACATCACTGGTCGTTTGTTGCTACTTCAGAGGCCTCCATTTCACGGTGTCGAGGATGAGTATGGCCTTGAGAGGTGCTATGAAACGCATACATCTCCGTGAGGTAATTATGCAAAGCAGTGGTGGACAGGTACTGAGATGTCGCGACAGCGCATGGGTACTCCGTACATGGAGAGCGATCCTGGGATTGGCATATCTTGTTGCGATCTCTGTTGAATCAATGTACCTTTGGCTAACCATGCAGGGCAAGATGCGTTGTGACTGTCTGGGTGACCAAGGAAGGGTGAAAGATGGTATTCTCTTCTATCCAACGAGCCAGCCAGCCAGCCATCCAGCCACGGTGATGGGGACATTAAGTGGCTAGCTGAGCTAACAGTTGTACACAACGATGATGTTGTGGATACCTGAAGAATGTTGCAGGTAGGGTGTAACCACTCTGCTACTGGCTGTTATGATTGCAGATGATGAAGGCTATGGTATGCCTCCCTTTGGAAACCAATCGACAGCGAATTGCGGTGTGACTAGAAATAATTGAGGCCTTTGACCGGCATTGGGCAAAACATTCAGCAAGTTACTCTATTTCACCGCTTCCAAAGAAGGGAGCCGAGAGTCCGGATGCTCCAGGCCCTAGTGGTACGGCAATGAGGAGGTGGTATGAGGAATACATAACATGTACGCCAGCAGGATCACGCTACCACATTTCCAGGACCTATCATAGCCCATAACATAGGCTGTGCAGATAATTCTACCAATGTGGCATGAATAAGGTTCCTATAGTTGCATGTAGTGCCTACACTGTAATGGATCGAGCCCTCCCGGTGCGGTTGCAAGCGCCCGACGTAAGTCTGGTTTCATTTTGAGCAGTTTAAACAGCCATCGTCGAATAAGAGGACTGAGATCACAGAGAATCTTTATATGGAGGCAGAGATGAAATATTCAATGGAAGTCTCTCCATTCACACCCCACCAGTCACCTTTTTCTTTTCTTTTCTTTTCTTTTCTTTTTTTTTTTTTTTTTTTAATCGGAGCGAAAAATGAAATTCTGCGTAGCTCTTTTAGAGGATGTGTGATGCAGTCCACGTCACAACACCCATCTTCGCCCACAACTGCATGCAGAATAATCGCAACTTCACCAGTAAGCGAGGGGAGTGTGCTACTTAATGCTTGAAGTCGATGTATGCAGGTCTCAGCCAACCACTTGAAAGCATTGCTGCTGAGGCCAAACCCCGATATTGGGCTGAAGTGCCCGAAACTTCGGGCCGAAGTGCTCGAAACTTCTGTCAATTAGCTACATTGTACCTTTGCTCCAGTTCCAGGTCTTCTTCGAATAATCAACTCACATTGACATAAAACCGGCACAAGTACCCTCTCTTCTTTATTCTGCTTATAAAGATTGGAAGCATCTTGATGGTCAGATATCTCGGTGACAAATATGCCCACATCCGATAAAACCACGGTGCCGAACAAAGAAACTTCTAACCCAATTGCCAAAGATGATCAAATCGAGATTCTAGTTTACCAAGCAGCCGTGGAATCTCAAGCAGCCCTGTCAACGGCACGGAGGCTAATCGAGATTTTCAACAACTTGTTGCGGAATGTGAGAGACCCAGGCGAGCGACCAAGGCTTTCTGCGCATTTTGGTAGATGCGTAACAGTATGTTTAATACCATTTCCGTGACAGATTTGCACCTGGCTAACTATGGGAAGTCTAATGGGCTGCTGTGGAGAATTGGATCTTCCAAATCTCGCGGCATTAGTGCAGGACAGGCCGCCCAAGGTAGGTATTGGTATTGTGAAACAGAGCTGTTAACTAACTGCATGGCTGTAGAATGCTACGACTCGATGCCCTATGTTACCGATATCAACAACCCGGATGGCGAAAGAAAGAGACGGATAATGGGTTGTAAAGATGTAAGACTAGGCTGTTTGCCCTTCCCTCCATGAATTGATACTAACACATCTACTGCCAGGTGACGGAAAAAATCGATGAGATGGAAACGGAGACCTACAAATGGTTTACAGACCTCAGTGGAGACTGGCAGAACTTTCTTGGCTACTGGCCACCAAGTTCAGAGGTAGATGAAATGCGGGCACTTTATGGTCACTGTATTGCGAAGTTCTTAGCCTTTTGGCAAGCCATCCGCAACGCGAATCAAGAAGTACGAAACTGGCTGGCCAGAGCTCTGGATGATTTCGAGGTCTCACTTCATTTCTCTTGGTGTTCTTCTTTGCCTTCCCCTTTCTTAGGGCTGACTCTTGATCGATGTTAGGGCCCATATGAGCTCATGAAAGATGAGATGTATAATGCTGCGTTTGCTTGTTTGTTTCGCCATCTTCCATCATGCAAATCTAAGGCCTTGAACTAATGATAACCGCAGGCGCCAGAAGTGCCAAGTATCTCGCCTTGTACGGAGACAGTGTCATTGATCCCAACCGTTCCTGACGGCACGAGAAAAGACGCTGCATTACCACGGATTTGGGAGGGAATCCGGGAAGACTTTGCGCTCTAGCTTCAGTATAGTGGAATTCTAGGCCTGACTATATACTGAATGAATCAACGTCGTTAACTACAAATGCGCCCAGCTGAGACTAGGAAGGTTGATGGACTGCTGTATGTTATTGAATATTCCAAATCTCGAAGCCTTGACATAGGACTGAAATTTCAAGGTAAGTGCTTCACTCCGGCATTTGCCAGTAGACTCTGGTCCGTTTAGTCTCGTTAAAGTGTCAATGTTCATTTGAAACTAATGTAGTCACCTGAAAGTTCTTGCCCCGAACAAGAAACAGTTCGAACACACACTGAATCCACACTTGCTTGGAATTAGTTCTCAGAATCAGTAAATATGTCTTTCATAACATCATTGTGTTGGCTGGTGCAATACCAAAAATTAAAACAATTGTTCAAACACAGGTCGGACCTATGCCTGTCATGACCCGCCTCGTCGCGTTATCCATCATGCAGGAACTACCCGTAATCAGCGCCGGGAGTATAGTCCCAAGAAACTCAAATGGCAAAGAAATGTGCCGATTGCTTAAGCTTTACCCCAGATTATTTCGCAGCCAAATATCCATTCTGGCTGAATCCGGCTATTTGATGCTGCATACTCTCACATTCCGCACAGCCGCCAGTGTGAAGACTTACCAATGGCCCAGCCCTGCAGTGGCTCTAACGGGATCTGTTACGGAGTTCGGCCCGCAACGACGATCTCTAACCATTTCGATCTGGAGTTTCCACTCCGTGCTGTCTATCCCAGACTCCTCATGTCGGAGCTGTCACGGGTGTCACATTAGCCCTGTGCTTAATCTCCGTGATGAAATCAGCCTACACTGTCTTTCCCATGTCTAAGCCCCGCAAAATACCCACTGAAGCAATACTTCCCACGACTATAGAAACACACAATTACTCCATGATGTTTCAATTTACCCGCTCCCTGCAGCGGTATAAATCGTCTTCGAATCCTTTTGTTTCTTCACTACGGTCCAAACCATCTTCGTAGAATCCTAGCACCATCCATCCACACTGCCTAGCACGGCAGAAAACAACCACCATGTTACTATCAACCCACCTCCTCTTCGTCATCACCACCCTCGTTACCTCCCTCCTCCACCCCATCGCCGCCCATGCTGTCAAGCGCAGTGGCAGTCTCCAACAAGTCACCGATTTCGGTGATAACCCTACAAATGTAGGCATGTACATCTACGTGCCTAACAACCTGGCCTCGAATCCAGGTATCGTGGTTGCAATCCACTACTGTACGTTGCCCCCACTTCTCTACAATATACACCACAATACTAAGCATGGCATAGGCACCGGCACCGGCCCTGGCTACTACAGTGCCTCCCCCTACGCCACCCTCTCCGAGCAATACGGCTTCATCGTGATCTACCCGTCCAGCCCATACTCCGGTGGCTGTTGGGACGTAAGCTCACAGGCAACGCTGACACACAATGGCGGTGGAAACAGTAACTCTATTGCCAACATGGTAACATGGACGATTAGCGAGTACGGGGCCGATAGTAGCAAGGTGTTCGTGACGGGATCGAGTTCGGGGGCTATGATGACGGTATTCATCCCACCCTTCCTTTTTCCTAGTACACCCCCGGAAGCACAAAAAGGACGGCACGTGCTAATTAGAATAGAACGTAATGGCAGCAACCTACCCCGAACTCTTCGCCGCCGGCACCGTCTACTCTGGCGTCTCAGCCGGGTGCTTCTACTCGAACACCAACCAAGTAGACGGATGGAATTCCACCTGCGCCCAGGGTGATGTAATCACCACCCCCGAGCACTGGGCCAGTATTGCCGAGGCGATGTACTCGGGATACTCAGGAAGTCGTCCAAGGATGCAGATCTACCACGGTAGTATAGATACGACTCTATATCCTCAGAACTACTACGAGACGTGCAAGCAGTGGGCTGGTGTGTTCGGGTATGACTATAGCGCACCGGAGAAGACGGAGGCAAACACCCCAGAGACGAATTACGAGACGACGATTTGGGGCGATAGTCTGCAGGGAATCTTCGCGACGGGCGTGGGTCATACGGTGCCGATTCATGGGGATAAGGATATGGAGTGGTTTGGGTTTGCTTGATTGGAGGATTGAATGAATTAGTCTGGAGATATCTTGGAGCCAAGAATGATGAAGCTTCTGAAGTATGATAATGTTAGCGATATCGCGTCAACGAACGTTTCTTGAAGTTTCGATGTGTAATGTGCGATATGAGCAGAATGTGCGTTGCCTGTGTCTGATAACAGAACCGGTGCAGCACGAGAGCTCCTGTAGGCGCAACGAGACATGGTCCCACCGACATAAAGAGGAAGACGGAGGTTTCGGACTCCTAAAGGGCATGTCCTTTATCAAATGAGTAGTTACGGGTTGAGCAACAATCTATTCGGCGTCTTGTTTGTCTGACAAACATCACATTTTTTCCGACCACAGCTGAAGATAACCTCGACACAGACTCGAGTTGACGGGTCAACGTTACATGTTGAAGGGGGACCCTGCTGTACTGTGTAGTAGATGCGCGTGTTAACAAATCTTCCAGAAGTGGAACGCAGGGATCCTGAGGCCATCCCATCTCATCATGCGTAATCCAAGAAGAGGATCGGAATTTACTGTTTGTGATGTGGACCGCAAATCAAATCCAAGACTTTCGGGGAGAAGAAATAGAATCATGTCTCACGTATCACCGCTCCTTCATTCTGAAGACAGCACTCCTTCTTTTGTTCCGGCACACTAGCGCCGATACCGACCAGCGATAATCAATGTTGGGTGGCAATCAAAACAAGTCGAGGAAATCAGATACTCTAGTGATTTCTTTGGTTGTTTGTTCTGAGGAACGACAGTGATGTTCCGGCTGCGTTCGTAGGCTGCGGGTGCAGAAAGAGGTTCGAGAACCTTGACCATGAAATGCCAAAGGAAAGTTTTCCAGAACGGCATTCTCTGCGTCATTGGGAGCGCGTCGTAGGCTTCCTGCAGAGCGTAGGCGGGCGTTGAAGGTACAAACCGGAGGGAATTTTGGAGCGGAAGACAAGGGATAGATGTAGTAATAGCTCATCATACGGTGATCATCGTTGCACGTCACTCGTCCCTAGGTCAACATCAAGCAAAGCTAATGGTTTACCAGCACGGTCAATGAGCCAGATTTAATGGCAATGGATAAAGTTAGTATATCTTCCTAATTAGACTACCTCAACTCAGATTTTTGAGCGAGCTTGTCAGCATCGCAATGTTATTGACACATATTAGTCGTATTCGACAAGTACAATATGAACCCGGCCGTTCGAGATGCCTTCATCCCACGCCAGCGTATCCGACACCACACCTTCAACCCCTGCACACATCATGTATCTTCACAGTCTAGAATATTTCTCGACGTCAACATCCCAGACTTCGGTGTTTGGCATTTAGTGGCATTTCTGAAGAAGTAATATTTGTTAGTTATTGTTGTGTAGATCGTCATTATTGGTATAAAACACTTACCCGGTCAGATCCGCAGACCAGAGGAGGGCAGCAGCTGTTTCCGGCGGCTGTAATGTTGCCGCCAACGCAAACGCCGTAGTCGCGCTAGGGATTGTTAGGAAGCTGTTGTATCATGACATGATGGACATAGCCAAACTCACTCCAAGGCACGCAACCTGGACGTTGAGCGCGTTCAGGGCGCCATTCTCAGCCGGTCTGGCGACGGCAACAGAGGCGAGGAGAGCGATGACAGCGAAGAAACGCATTGTGATTATGGAATAAGGGAATTTGAGAAGATAAAAGGGTATTATTGATGTTGTGTGTGTTTGATTACTAGAGGATCGGTCGTTGTTAGACTCTGCACAAGTGAAGCTATTCGATAATATAAAGACGATAGGAAATGGAAATGACACATACCTGGGCGTGCACGAGGGAGAGAGTGGAATGTTAAGAACGTGGAGAGGTAGGGAAGGTTGGGAGAAAGAGGGAAAGGAACAAAAGACGGGTCAGGTAGGGATGACGAAGAGGGATGGGGATGGGCGCGGCCGTTTATTTAGGCAGGGAGAGGAGGCGCTGTCGATCGATGCTCTTTCCGATCGTCATAATCAAAGTGAGTCGTTGGTGAATGTGATGCAGGCACACGGTTAGCCCACCGGATATTTTTGGAATAAAATATTACCCACATAAAAAAAACAAGTTACGTACTTATTGAGTAAAATCGATAGCAGGGAAGCAGCAACAGCTGGCCAGGGTCGCCAACGCAGGCCGAAACAGCAATCGGCGGGATCGGCGCGGGACCCTGGGGCTGGGATCGGCATGCCCCTGGCTGCTTAGGTGCAGTGGACGAGTGACAGCCCATTGTCGGCTCCAGCTCAGCTCCATCGCCCGCTGCGATCGGCAGGCCCGGGGGCCAATAGTCGCCGGGCTTACGGGTTGGAGTCAGGGTGTCCCCTTGGCAATGGCTACACTACTGCGTCTTTGATGCCTTGGCACAGTGGGCGTGCGGAGACTTGGGTTTTTCGAGGAAGTTGTTGCCTCTGGTTTAGGGATATGATCTTTGCCACAATGAACTCGCGTTCATTCTCTCCTACAAAAGATTCTCTAGTTCTAGCTACTATCATTCTAGCACGACGGTAGACTATTCTCCCGATCAGCCAATATTGACGCGCAGGTGGAGCTATAGAGCTTGATCACCGCTGCGATAAGATAAGGAACCCCCCTTTATCAACTCCCAAATCTTGAGACATTACTCATTCCTTGCCTGCTCAGGAGATCTCCTCCTCGCTAATCGTTGCACGACGCAGCTTCGGAGATTATTTTAGCCCTGTGAGTCTCCTGGTCATATCTCGCTTAAGCAGCAATACAACCTATCCACACATCACTTTGTCCCAGCAGCTACATGATTTCTTTGACTCGAGTCACAGATTGAAACACCAACACGGGACACCGAAGTATACATCGTCATTTGCTCTGAAGACACTCGTTATAGTCTGCATCCTTGCCAAGGATGTAGGGGATGTCTGAAAAAGCCTGTGTTGTGTATCCCCGTTTTCTACCAACATTCCTCTCAAAATCAGCTGGCAAGGAAGCCCCCGCGGACAACTCCCCTTACCGGATAGCGGCGCCCTAGGGAGGTCGTGGTTTATTAAATTTCTATTGAATCATACTCGAATTATCAAGGGCCGGTCCTTTATAAACCGGACTATCCTGCCTCGCTCACCAGAATCTTTCAAATTCTCCCTCTCAGCCATATGTACCTCAATTCATGAAGAACAGGAGGTCCAGAGGAAGCCCGACCATATGATCTAGTAATTTCTCATGATCGCACCTCTTTCATGTGTGTGAGTATTTGTCCCCCGTACCCCTAATCAGGGCAGTTACCTTGTCGTTCGTTCAGGTACCGAGGCGATCGGCAATCTCGTCTCTCCACTCTCTAACGGACATGAGTTCGGTATCCGCTTATCTAATTATAGAGTTAGCCTGGAGGTCGAAATCTCTACCTGACCTCCTTATCAAAGCCTGTCAGTCGCGACTTCACTGGCAATTCTTGGATTTATTACCCCTGGCAGAAGGCTTGACCACAATATCTCCGAGCTCCGAATCGTGGGCTTCGAATGATACATCATATATGTGACCTATACGGGAATTGGAGATTCAATAACGACTGTACCACGTGCTCCCACATGACAGAGATCAATTGGCGGACTAAATGATAATATTGGTGCACGTGATATGAGAACAGCTGCCTCCATGACAGTGACCTATGCTGGCTATGAATGCGCCTGCCCCCTTTATGGAGTTATATCGCGTAACGACTTCACGTATATTCAGAGAATTGAGATTCTCTATCAAAGGTAAGATTGGGTATGGCCCAACCCATGCTCCGTCGGAGTCCTTGGCCCTTGCGCATAAATGAATGAGCACTTGAATGTTGGTTTCATGGGTGCCTGACCTGCAATGTCCGAGGCCTAGACAGCATCGTATGATCTTGAATCATACGTAGATGTTATATTCGGCATGCCTCTTTGACTGTAACAATATCATGAGCTAGACGCCATGGATAGAAGTAGATAGACGGACCTGTACTGCGCATATGTCGATCAGGCTAATCAAAGTTCTTCCAAGATCGCTGCTAGCAATGCTCAAAATGTCATAATGAGTGTATGAGTGTATGATGTCGCTTGTCCTTACTTTGGAGCGGGCCACATGCTCTACATCACTGATGTGTCCGTGGAATTCAATGTATATCATTGTTGCAATTCCAGCTACATATGGCCAGGATGCTTCCTGGATTCACATTATTTGTATTGATCACCTCAGACGGCCTGAGGTTTATTAATACCAAGCAGTAGGTAACAGACACAACAACAATTTATTTTCCCATATTCACGCAGTGATAGGACATGGGAAAAGATATCTACTATTCAAAATATGTATATAGTATGTAGTAGTCAACAATAAGCAGTTACAGAGAGGACAACACGCGGGGCGGCCAAGACGATCGGAATCCGGGCATACGATTGCCCATTGCCCCGGAAGCCAATGGGGAAGCCCTTATTCTGGACTGTGCGCCGAGACCGCTCCGTTGTGTTCTCTGGGCCGCGCGCACCAATCACCGACTGGCGCCGACGGGGTTCCGATTCTTCCGCCAATATGGGTGATTTGAAACAATCTGGACGGAGCAGCCTTGTGGTCTTCCGTGTCCGAAAGGCTACAGGCGGGAAGATGCGAGCTTGGATCGCTGTCACGCCATCTTACTCGTTCTATTTCCATACATAATATGTACGAGAGGGTGTGGGGAATCATCATCCAGGCAGGCAGGCATCTTGTATAATAGTCCTCTTATTCTTGATGACTAGTACCTTCGTAGTGAGCCAGCGCAGATAAGATGATGCCTAAAAGGAATCATACAAGTTAGAGAGGATTGAGATGGATGGATCAAGTCGTTGTCTGCTGAATCACAGTGCTTTGTGCAATCCATAACGGGAATCAGCCATGTAACAGCCGTGCCAGTCCGAAGGTGCCAACCGAAAGACGAGGTAATAAATAAATTAGTATAGTTAGCCAGTTCATATGGCCTGAGCCCAGCGTGGCGTAAGGGTCCACACTCTATGACAGCAATTGGAGGGGTAGTGGTAGAGTAGTTTAAATTTAACCAGCCACCACATTTGATTAGAACCACCATTAAGTATGGCTACCGAAGTCCCTCATGACCCATGGATCGTGGATTCGCCCGGGAGCTTGGACAACCCGGTGGCCCAAGACATTCGACACATTTTTAGTTCCTGAAGGAGCCAAACGAACAGCACAGCCGTAGCATGGGCTGAATGATTGGATTGGGTTGCCTTGAAAGTTGTATTGGAAGTAGCGAAAGTGAGACAGTGAGACACGCATGGTACAGACAGAGCGTAAGCAGGCAGTCGAATTGGGGCTATTTTTGGCGACCCTGTCATTCCCAGTCGGGCTAGGCGGGCCGAGAAGAGTAAGTGTAAGCTGTCTCTTCTTGGCCTCGTGACCGTTCAAAATGATTCAATGATCATTTTTAGTGCAGGCATCAACTCAGTTCTACTGGTGGTAGTTGGAGTGAGTAGTTTACTAGTGAGAAAGGATGTATCTAGTAAGTACCGTTTGTTACTAGTCCCATACTCTATACGGAACTAAGCCGGAATTGACTTCTGGGCGCAACTCTCTCTCTTCCCGAGCCATTTTCTCCTCTTCTGCCCCCCAAGAATAACCCTCCCACTTCTTCGTTAATCCCACTTGGCACTCTTTTTTTTTCTCTCTCCCTCCTTTCATCGGTCTCTCGCTTCGTTTGAGTGACCTTTGGACCTTCATTTGTTTCCCCCCCGATATTTCCCAAACCCTCCTCTGTTCTCTGCGTCATGGAATCCAGCAGCTGCATCCCATCAGGATCCATCGTTTAGCGTTTCCTGCAGGGTAGGCCTATTTTCCCGGTGGACCCCCCAATTCCCTGAGCTGACCCATCATCCTTCTCCAGCTTTCTCCACATTCCAGCAGCAGCAATTCCCTTGTCCCGCGATCCCTGATCTCCCCTCGTTGCCTTGTCTCTTTCCATTCGTTTGCAGCCCTCGATATTCGTCACCTCGCTCCAGCGCACATGGCAGGTTTCATATCCCATGCATAGTCTACAGCTTATCGCATAACTTTGGGGCCATTTCAAATCAACTTGACGGTCGTCCCCACTATCAGGGATTGTTCTGCGACCACGCTCGGAACTTACATTTGTGGCATTTTGCCATCACCGATCGGATCTCAAACACAAAGAATTAGGAACGATGGCGCGCTCTGCCAGCGGCGGCTATCCCCAGCCGCTTTCTTCCCCTCCGCCCGTTTATCTTCGTTCTTCTCCTCCCATCCCCCCGGTGCATCGTGAACCCCGGCGGGACAGCTTCAATCGCTTATACAGCCAGCCTATTCCCAGGAAGTCTCTGACGGATCCGGTGTACATGCCGGAAGATCGCCCCGAAAGCCAACGCTATTCGGTTCCACGGGTCAGAATCCATGGGGAAAGCGATCCGCCAGAGCCGGATTATCATGAGGACGGTATTGAACTGACGCTTCCTACTGATGAATTCGCCCACATATCTCTCTCCGAGCAGCAGCAGACTCATGGAAAGACCATCGATGGATCATCTCCACTCCAGGTGGAAGACTTAAACGCCCCCCAGGTACCAGAGCATCGGACATACGGGCACACACCCCATAGCAGTGCGTCTTGGTCGGTAGTCGATCCCCACACCAAAGACAACAGTCTGCCCAACACGAGCACATCTTCGTTGGACCAACAACCTACCAAAGACAGTCAGACTAGCTCTACCCGGGACAGTCTCGACAGTGCGACGCAAGCTTCAGAAATCTATGAACCTTTGCACTACCATCATCGACCGTACGAAGCTCCCCAGCCCGCAAACCAGCAATCACTGGCAAGTGGCTCATCTGAGAATCTACAGAAGCCACGCCCAGCTGCCAATGGTCGTTCTCGTTCAACACACTCGCTCGGGTCCGACCTGGGTGAAAGACGGAGATCTTCTCGGCTCTCGCCATACCTCCACGCCCGTGGATCATCCCGGGACTCCAGTGCATCTCCCGATGTCCGACCAGTA